GTGGCCTCAGGCGCAGGCCCCGCGGCTGCCGTGGCGCCGTGGGCTTTGGGCTCAGGCCTCACAACTGTGGCACCGCGTTTTGAGGTCAGGTCCCGCGGCCGTGGTGGTGCTCTGGGCTTTGAGCTCAGCTGCGGCCGAGGTGCTGCTGCACATCGACAGCTTGAGGCCTTGATCCGGCCGTGGGGTGGGATGGCAGTGAGTCAGTGTAATGATTTTTATGCCATTTCCCCCCCGTCTTGAGACAAATGTGTATGTTGCACCTTGTGGCCTTGACTGAGGGCTCTCACAGCGTGGAGAAGCTGTTGCTTTTGCGTGGTGATTTTAATGCATCTCTTATCGGGATGCATTGAGCCTGGGTCACTCAGTCCAGTGTAGCTGCAGAGGGGAGGAGGTAGGGAGATGCAGTGAGTTTTAAGAGTGCTAGGATCCTGATTTTAGACAGTGTTGCGTCACCAATGCATTTGATACCTTGCTAGGAAATGTTGATAAAACATTGGCTTGTGATTATAGGTTGTTGTTATTTCCCATTCCAAAACAAGGTAAATTTCATATAATACCCAAGTTTCATTCACTGAAGAAATTCACAGTGTGATGTTTGCAAGCAGATGATTCCAAAGGAAACATTAATCCATGAGTGCTATGTAACCTTGGATATTAATTTAAGACTGTCAGAAAAAACAAGTTACAAAATTACATTTTGAGTGCTACTTTATGACTATCCTGCATAAATAACAAAACCTTCATGTGGCAAAGGGGTATTTGAGGCAATTATTTTAAATCTTTGGTTTACAGAATTAAGACCGCTAAGTTACAACCTCAGCTATACTGGTATAAATTCAGAGTAATTCAATTAAATGGATTTACATCAGAGTTATAATACTGTATTTTGAGATTTAATCTGATGTATGCTTTCCAATTAGCAATATGAGAACCATCTAAGCTACAGCACATGCTGTGGAGTTCTTTGAATCACTTCCTGTTTGAAATCAATTTGATTTTAAAAATCTAGTAATAGATTTTTATCCGTTATCCTTAATCCTTTTTTTAGTCATTCACTGATCTAAGTATTCGAAATACATGCGTATATCACGGAGTATATGTGTAGTTACTGGCAAACTTTAACTCTTTACAAATTCTGTACAGAGTTTAAACTGTAAAATCTCATTCTTGCAGCTCATTGTTTTACTATTAGTATGGTTTTACAGTAGACGACTAGGGAATGATGGCTTTCAGGAAAGTAAAAGCCGGATACTAATCTAATTGAAAAGAGTTCCATACGCAGTAGTTTTGCTTCAGACGGTGAGTGAAAGAGGAAAGAAAAGTTAATGCGTGCTGCAACTGTTATCTTTCTTTACTTCTCTGGGTGTTCTGGAAGCAGAGGATGCAGCATTTGCCTCCAAGGTGGAATTCCTGAATGATTCCAGTAAACTAAATTCTTTAGTCAAAAATCATCAATAAAATATCTGGAAAAAATAGCTTGATTTTTTTCTGTCTGTTATTATGAGGTGACACTTTGTTGACACAAGTCTATCAGCATGATTTAATGTATGGTTTTGTTTTTCCTAGGTCAAAAATGAGAAATGTCTTATTTTTACAACTGATCATAGACAGCATGTTGCAAAGGTAAGAGTAATACTTTCTGACAGCTCACTGAAAATAAAAAGCCAAAATTCAAGCAGGTATTCCTGGCAGAAACGCCTGGGCTAGCTGCAGTTGTAAGTTTTCTCTCTCCCTTAGAAAGCGTTTGGTGAGTATACTTTGCTGGCCTACCGAGACAATAGTCGTAATAGGGAGTTGTAGAGGGGATTCTTAGGGTCACTGTTTTTTTGCCCCATTTTTATGAACAGCACAAGACCTGGAAATAAGCTGTAGCTGGTGCAAAAAATATGGGGTGACTCAATGTTTTGCAGCATGCATGGGAAGTAATTTTGGTTTCCATTTTATGTCGTTTCTAGATTTGACCCACTACTTTTTGCAGATCTGCGTGTTTTCTTGTTTTAAACAGAGCTATAAAGTTTGTTTGGCTTGTGTTGAAAGCACGTCATAGGTGATAAACTAGTTCAGCTCTTTCTCCTGTTTTTATTGAAATCAATGGCTTTGCTTATAACTGGGGAGTATTAAGGCACTATGCAGAGAGGTTCAATTTTTTTTACACTGCTTTTTAGTGGAAATCCAGAACTTCCAGAGATATTGTTCCCAATGAATAAAACCGCAAGCAAATCACTTAAAAACTGCAGTGGATGTTTTAGATCTGAATTTAGGTATTTCTTCCATAAAGGTAATAGCTCAGATACTGCTTTGTTTTGGTTATTTTGCATATCATCCTCCTTTGGTTGCTTTGTGTCACATCTGATTGCTCCTTATACTACTCTCTAGCTTTACGGCTGAACACTGAGACATGGAGACATTGCTTACTGCTATCCATGAACTTGTTGGATCCCCTTTCGGAAGACAGTTCTGTGAACATACATGACCGACATTATGGTTTATAGCTACAGTTTGGATATTTATAAGTGGTTCTTGTCAGATTTGAGAGAGAAGACTCATTAACCTAATTCTTAATTACTAATTTATGAATGGCATTGTTCATATCTCAGTTCAAAATCCAAACTGTTAACAAAGCCCTCAGATTTTCTATTTTTTTTTGTTTAGGTAGATGCACTTTTGGAAGAGCAAAGCGTGTGAAATACTGTGCCATTAGCAACTGAATGGAAAAGTTATGTTGTTATCTCCAGGAGATGGCACTGTGTTCTCTCTGGGCTAAAATTATGTACATAGCTTTGAAATGTAGATTCAGAGCCAATGGAAGTCTGAGGGGTTTTGTTCTTTTTTGTTATGAAACACATACTTCATTTTAGACCTAAATTCTTATTTAACCATCCCAGATATAGTATTTCATCTCTTTTCTATTTTTGAAAGTAGTCAGATTGAAATGCAGGTGTATAATTCTAGCGTTATCTGTACAGTGCTTTATATTTTCATGTTACTCTCTCAGCGCTTCTCGGAAATGCATTTGGTAGGTGGGAGAAATGGCAATACCAAAATTGTGTGATATACCGAAGCTTATATAATAGTTCAGTTTTCTTGGCCAGTTTTAGTATTAGGTCTCTGTTCATATTAGGTAGTAGCTTAATAATGCTTAAGTTTCTCTGAAAGATGTAATAAAAATACTAAGGAGATTAAAAAAAAGTTAACCAACATCAATTACCTAGTGAGTAGCAAAAAAGGGACTCTTAAAATGGTTCTGGCTTTATGGTTTAATTAAAATGAGGCACACGTTTTTCCTGAAGTTTCTATGTGCCGTTTGGAAGTAAACAGCTGATATGAAAAACAGTTGTATTTGCATTGCAAAATCTGCTGGCTGATAACGAAGGACTGACCAAAAGGGAAATGGGTGAGGCCTTCACATCCTGTGCTTGTATCTCCCCTGTGCACATTGTGCGCTTCACAAAGAGCGCGCTGTAGTTGCTTCTGTAATGAGCGAGCGGCGAGCAGGTCTGTGCCTAAACTGCCCCTCGGTGCCCCAGCGAGGCAGGCTCTTTCCCGCTGCGCTCGTGCTGCCCGGTAAGGCGCGGGGTTAGGGCCGGGCAGTAACTTCCCGGGAGCATTAGCGGCGGGACTGCTCTAATCCCGGGTTTTCCCAGCTCAGTTTCGTTAGCATCCCCCTCCCCGCGGGGCTGGCGGCCCGGGGGCCGCGCTGGCCCCG